GGTCTAATGCAGATGTGACGACATGAATCAATAAAGCAGGGGTAGCATTTTTTTACAATTTTAAAACATCTAGAACTCTAAACAAATCTCAACTAACAACACCAAAGTCACAATTTTCAATAGCATGGATCGGAAACTTGATGAATCACGAAAGATACAGATGTTTATAAACAGCTGTCTACAACAGATACTTCGGGTCTGTCGACCAGACACCATCAACAAAAACCTACTATGGAATAGAACAAACCAAATTCCATCTGAGACAGAAATTAGGAAAAGCGCTGTGGGTGGTGGATAGGACAAACAATGAGAGAATTACCCATATGCGTCGTCAAAAAACAAGCCGTCACTTGAAATCCTCATAGACAAAGGAGAAAAGGTAGATCAACGAACAACACTATAGCGAGAATTAGAAATAAACATTAAAAGAATGAAGCGCAATTAGGAACAACTGGAAAGAAAAACTAGGGATTAGGTTGGGTGAAGAGTGCAGGTGGGAGGTTTATGCTCCATTGTGTAAGTAACTAAGCAAGTGCATAAGTAAGTGCCTAATTAAGTAGATAAGTAAGTAAGTAAGTAGGTAAGTAAGTTAGTAGGTAGGTAAGTAAGTATGTAAGTAGGTAAGTAGGTAAGTAAGTAAGTGCATAAGTAAGTAAGTAAGTAGCTAAGTAAGGAAGTAAGTAAGTAAGTAATTGAGTGAGTAACTAAGTCAGTAAGTAAGCAAACAAGCAAGCAAGCATGTAAGTGAGTAAGTAAAGAGTTTGCAAAAGACAAAATCAAGCAAGTGCATAAGTAAGGGCATAATTAAGTAGGTAAGTAAGTAATTAATTAATTAAGTAAGTAAATAATAAGTAAGTAAGTAGGTAAGTAAGTTAGTAGGTAGGTAAGTAAGTAAGTAAGTGCATAAGTAAGTAAGTGAGTTAGTAAGTAAGTAAGTAAGTAATTGAGTGAGTACGTAAGTAGGTAGGTAAGTTAGTAGGTAGGTAAGTAAGTAAGTAAGTAGGTAAGTAAGTAAGTAAGTAAGTAAGTAGGTAAGTAACTAAGTAAGTAAGTAAGTAGCTAAGTAAGGAAGTAAGTAAGTAAGTAAGTAATTGAGTGAGTAACTAAGTCAGTAAGTAAGCAAACAAGCAAGCAAGCATGTCAGTAAGTAAGTAAAGAGTTTGCAAAAGACAATCAAGAATTTCATAAAATGTTAATAATTATTGGTAATGTACAGTGCTTATTACCTATTAATTACCAAAAAATTAAATCTTTCTATAATAAGATTTAAAAAAAATTATCTAATCCACTCACTGAATAAATCACAGACTGTCTAGTGTAGCATCAATTTTCAATAAAAAAATAGGCGAACTTACATTAGTCTCTCTGGCTCGCTCTCCCTCTCTCTCTCTCCGTTTTTTTCCAAAAATTCAGAACATTTTTTTATCGCCCAATACATCGGGGTTTTCTTAACTTGGTCCTATATTAGTAAATTATGTGAAACTTTTAAAATTTTTATGATTATTATCATTATTACTACTATTAAATGCTTGTTATTGGCGTCAAAATTGCCTCTTTTTTTCTGTTTTATGCTTCTATATCTAACTTATTACATAATTATTAAAGTAGTTTTTAAAATGAGATGTATTAATATCGATGGTGTGTTTGGCTTTTCGTGTTTTTTTTTTGTAAAGTGATTCACGTTTAAATGAAAAGAGACAGATAGAGTTAGTTGGTTTGCTCGGTATGGTTTAATTTCACAGACAGACTAATAAATTATTTGGTTCAGTGTATAGAAAGAATCGTATCATAAACTAGTCTGGTCTTCCTCTTCTTCTTCTTTAGTTTCAGAATTTTATAATCCTATTATTTTTACCGATGGAAAAAGAAACATTGTGTTTTATGGGGTATGGTTTAAGTTGAGGCTACATGCATACATAACAGTTTTTTTCAGGCAGAGTTTTGGAGGTTTGTGTTTTTACACATTAGGCGTTGGTGTACAATACCGAAGGTCCCGGGTTCGAATGCTGCGAGGTTCAGGAGTCGTGGATGCGCACTGCCAATGATGAGTCCCATACCAGGACGAAACGGCCGTCTTTCAGTGCTTCTCACAGGTTTCTAATGGTGGTCTAACAATGATTGATTGATGATTTCAAATGTGCCTATAGTCTATCAATGGATATTTTCTTCTGATTAGCGTTAATTTTCTATGATTGTGGTGTTGCCAACCTCATGCCGAATCCTCCTCCATTATCTGGAGTTGGTGCGGGCAGTAGCCTAAGAGGGACTCCAGATGGAATCATAAGACAAGCCTCCAACTGGAATCCTTAGGGTCAATGGAACAGTTGAAAGCCAAACGAACACACTATATTTAAGTATATTATAAGCAGAAATAGTATTGAATAGGATTGAAATGAGAAAAGTGACTAACGATCGTAATGTCTAATAACGTAACTTGTATGACCTCCTCTCTTTTACTCGGTGAATGAATTCACAATTGGTCACAGTTTCGTACTAGAACTATGATAATTTTTTTTTCCGAAGTAAATCTCAAGTGAGGTAACTCAACACCACATAGATTGACTGAAGTTAGACAATACCACCGTTGGATACCGGTTCAGTGATTTAGAGGTTAAGCGTTCGTGTCAAAAGGTCAAAAGTCTTAGATTCGATTCTTGTATACAGATGTCGTACAGGCGGACTGCTGATAAGCTCTATATCAAGATGAAACGACCTTCCAGCCTTTCCAAAATTCTAATGGTGGTTTTGTGGTGCGCGCTACTTATAAGTAGCATATGACGTAAGTGTCAAAGTAATGTCTGGCAGCAGAAGATGGGGGAAGATCAAGAAAGGAGGAAGAGTTAGAACGCAATGGAATTTGTATGAAAGGCATGAATAGTGACAGTGGATTGATGTTTTGCAACAGGAACAGTCCAGTTCGATATGATGAACTGATATTTTGCAAATTAACGATTTACGATATGGTTTTTACGATTTTACTGAGTAACTCTGTTGTAATTTTCGTTAAATACAATTCGGTTGCATTCACCTGTGTTCTCCTTCACTACATTTGATGTTTCTGCCTACTCGAAGGAAGGAGCTCCGGTGGCCGAAGAAGTTGGAAGGCGGAGATTTGCGGAGCTTCCTGGAGGAGTTTGAGGCCGCGGCGGAGCTGGTGGGGGCCCGGGGCGCAGTTGGCGGTGCTGGGGACGCTGCGGGGAGGTGAGGCGAGGCGGTATACGACAGCCTGGACGGTGCCGCCGGGAAGACGACGTGGGAGATGGTCACCGAGCGGCTGATGACGGAGTTCGACAGCCCAGTAGACAGGAAGGAGGCGCCGCAGAGATCCCGGTGGGCGAGGCTGTCGGCTGATAGTGACCCGTTGGTGTTGGCTGTGGAGCTCACCAGATTGTTGCGCCATGCTTTGCCTGTATTCTCCTTCACTACATATATATATATATACACCCATAGTGTCTGCTTTTTATCTTTATTGACACATTGATCATCAACTTTCAAAAAAGTATTTCATAAAATAAATCAAACCATTAAATAATCGGTCAAATTTAATTTGTTTTTCTTTTTTTTAAAAAAAAATCTCATTTATTTATCTATTCATTTAAACAAATAAAATAATATCAAGGTCAAAGAAAAATACAATCAAATAATTTTTCAACAATCTACTTTTTGAATGAAATTATATTTTTCAATTTTTTATTTAATTGTAAATAAATAAAATAAACTTTTAATGAGCCTTATTATTCTTTTTATTTTCTAAATTGTATTTTCATTACAGTTTTAAAATTACATTTGTTAACCAGAAGATAGTTATTTATTTATGTATGTATGTATGTATTTACTAACAACATATAATACAGTACATTGATTACAATCTGCAAGTACATATAATGTGTTCGTTAGTTAGTTAGTTAGTTTGTCTGTACATGTAAATAGTAGTAGTAGTTAGTTGTGTTGAATTTGGCGTCGAATTTCTTATTTATTTTCTTTAATAAAAATGGCGTCAAATTCAAATAACAATTATACTTAGCATAACACTCTCCCTATGGTTAATTTTACATATATATATACAAACTGGAAGAAGCTCTTTTATGATTATGCTTATTAATATTATTATTATTATTGGTTACTTAAAGATTTCCCAGTTACAAATTCAAATGTATATACTACACTAACTAACTTGTATATTCCATTAGGATTTGCCCTATTTTCACCTTTTTTTTCAACACTAAGACTTTTACCTTTGTGTGTATGTGTGAACTAACAAACATACAAACTGACAAACAGATAATAAATATATCTTTTTTACTCTGTATATTTTACCAAATAAACATATATATATATATATGATACTCATATTATGACACCCTGTATATTCATTCACTCATTCATTCAGATAACTCGCGCACACACACACACATATGTATTAATTGGTAACATCCATTTCCTGGTATATACTGATTTTCTGTGTTAGTTTGTAAAGTATTTTCCTTTTTTCCTACATTCTCATATTTATTATAATATGGCACCGTCTATTTATTTTTCTTATTGTCCAACCAATCATTATTAAATAGTAGACAAGTAAGTTTAATTAATAGTTAAGCGAATTTCTTGTTGCTAGTTTTTTTTTTCTATATTCACACACACACACAGGCACACTAAAACAAAAATCCAAACTGAAAAAAAAATGTTTCTCCCCTAGTTAAAAAAAAATTAATTAATTGTTATAAATGCTGAAGAAATTTGAAATATATATATTAAAAAAAAAAATAGTGGAAGCATTTTTATTCATTCATTCATTCATTCACTATTGAACATTGAACATTGAACGTTGAACATTTAAAAAAACCGCGCTCAATTCAACACACACACGCAAAAATGGATCTCAATGAAAAATACTTATTTTACGCAGGATAAATATGCATATATATATATAAATAGTAGTCGAATAATCAGTAAGTAATATTGTTGTTTTCTCATTAAAATAAATAAACCTTAATAAAAAGATGACTGTCTCTTATATAATATTTTTATTTATTTTCAATTATACAATAAATGCTTTATTAACTACTACTACAACAACAACAACTACTACTAGTACAAATAAACAAATTCAAAAGTCAACAACCACATTCAATGAAACATCATCATCATCATCATTAAATCCAAAACTTCATTTACATGGTCATTGGTTTAATAAAGGTGTCGAATATCGTTATTGTACTGCTGCTGCCGCTATGTTTACAAAACATGAACAATTTTTACTGAATTTAAAACAAAAATATAAAGATTGTGATAAATTATCCATTCAATTATTGTCAATCGATAATAAAATTGATTTGGATAAATCAGATTATGAATTATTAGTGAAAAAAATTATTTGTATTTTACAGAAAATTAATTGTCCAATTAATGAGAAATCATTTCAAGTAAGTGAGAAATTTTATGTTCATCGTACTTGTTAATCGTTAATATGAGTGAAATTTTTTTAAAAAAAAATAAAGTGATCATTGTTTCATTGTCATAGTGACGCCTGGATCTGTCCTAGAGTTATTATTATCCGGAGAGTTAGGAATGAGGATTAGCGATCCTATCCCGTGGAAATCCAACTCGCTGGAAAAACCACTAACCGTAGTAATAAATAATTCACTGGTCGGCGGCTTATGCTTTATTAGGAGTAATAAGCGTAAATAATAAGTTAATAAGTAAGTTACGATGTTATAAATTTGATTTCGACCAATTTGGTCTCGTGTACTGTTACGGGTAGATCAATAGATGAAGTAATGAAACTTCATCAGTTGAGGTGGTTGAGACATGTGTTACGTATGCCAATCCACCGACTGCCTCAAAGAGCTTTGTTTTGTAGTGTAGGAATAGGTTGGAAGAAAGTTAGGGGCGGCCAAACCAAAACATGGCAGAAATCCATGAAGTCATTGACAAGTGGATTGAGTCATGTTGGTAGTTGTCGACTACCTGTTTGGGGTCCGCGAGATGCTGGTAATCGATGGTTAGAGACGCTGAATGACATGGCTCAAAACCGTTTGCAATGGCGCAGGTGCATTTATGCTTTGTGTTTTCTCAATTCCTAATCTTCTGGATTCTTCAATCGCTCTAGTTTTTGACTTTCTAAACTTATCTCACTGAATCATACTTCTTGAATAATATCTTCTAATTCTAACCTCTTCGATTACTTCTAATACCTTTACTACCTCTTCTACTATTGGATTTGAATTGACAATTACATCTCTGTGTGCTAATAATGTGGTATGGCAACATGAACTGATGTACATACGTACGAAGTTCTACATTGCATCTGACTGACTAACTGACTAATGTTATCAATTGTATGTAATTAAGTTTCTGAAGAAAATCAGACTATTGTAACCTGAAAAAATCGTTCAAAATCATATTTTAATTAAAGTAATGAATTTTTTGTACAAAGATGCAAAAACCATTTCATCTAACATTTCTGTAAATTTAGATATGACCCTGAGGTACCCATGTAAAAAGGTGATTACAGTTTTTGATTAAATTATTAGCTCTTCTCATTAATATAAATGTAACTAATATTATCAATGTAATAAGTTTAATGTTTGACTGTAAATATTTTTCAAAATATACAAATCATAATATTTTCCAGTGATATCTTTTCAGTGGTCTAAAGGTTAGGCGTTCATGCTCCTAAGATTCTGGGTTCGATTGAACTCGTAGAAGTCATAGATATACAGTATCAAAGACAATCCTATTCCAGGACGAAACGGTTGTTAACTTGTGCTTTCAGGTGTTAAGAATATCTTTTTACAATCATGCATTGACCATTATTACATCACTGTTAGAAACCTGGAAACACTGAAAGACGGTGGTCGTCTAGTCCTAGTATGGGACTCATCAGCAGTGGGCATCCACCATGGTCTACAACTAGAAGGATTTGAACTCAGAACCTTCGATCTTGCGCACAAACGCTTAACCTTTAAAGTATTGTGTTACTCAAATTTATTATACTTTACTATCTGTTTGTTTGATATACTAAGATCATACAATTTGAAGTAAAGCAAACTTTCTGCTTCAAGCTACCTTGTCGCTGTAATAATTCATGTTCTAATCTTATTTCTACTGTTTTAATACACTCTTGTTAATTCTTCAAAAATCAAACTTCACAATGATTTCATCAGTTTGTAATCATATAAGAATCTAATTCAGATATCTGTTCTTCTTATTCAGTTTATCAGTTGTTGTCAGTAGACCATGAAATAAATAAGATACATGAACGTACATGTCCAATGTTTAAATTAACACACTAATTAAACGTTCATCTTCCTCATTAATTATATTCTTCAATAATTTTAAACATTCTCTCTCTGTCTGTCAAAGAAAACAGATTACTGAAATATCTATTTTCCGAAAAATTCCAGTCCA